GCACAAAAGGCTTACTGGCCACCCTCCAGCTAATGCTGTGTGAGCTCTGGGATAAGGTAGGTACTTTCTGCATGACAGAAGGAAACCCACAACTGGGACATATTTAAGAACTTGGTCCATGTATTATCTACATTCAAAGTCTGCTCCCTTTCTATGAAACACTAACAGAAGAAAAATTTATAAAATCTTGTATTAGTCACTGTTACCAACAGATAAGACTATGTTTACCTGGGGCCACATCAGCTGAGTAAAGTCCTGTTTTCTGTGGCCAACTTTCCTGATCACAGCTACATTCTAAGTCATAGTGTGAGTCATTTTTTAAGACCTGAATGACACAACAAGTTTAGGATTACAATGTACAAATCAAACAGGGTTTTCTTTGGAAGCTTCCACAGACAACATCAGTTTTCACCGCTAAATATCTGTCTGCTTCTCTCGTACACTGAGTGGAAATCAGATTAAGAATAAGCATTCTACAAGAGGCATGATGAAAAAAAGAAACGGACATGCACTGAATATATATTCACAGATGTAAATACACTTATCTGAAGCAGATGTGGAGGCCACTAAGACAACTGAAGAAGAATCTTACCCATGCCAAATACTGCTATGAAGAAGTGTAAGATATAATGCTAACGAGCAATGACTGCAGATTAGGGAAAACACTTGGAAGAAAATAAAACACAGGTCCCTTCTCTACTGTGTCCCTCAATCACTAGCTAATGCCAACTTCAGGGTGGCCAATATTTCTACCCCTATGAGCCCCATTCCAATAAAATTTTAATCTTGAGGCCAAGACAGATATCCCTCTTCTCAGCACTGTGCTGAAAGGAAGAGTGCCCATAAGAGACTACAGATGGGAGATGGCACCAGCTCCCTGGCAGTCCCACCTCATGCTGCATGCTGCAGGGTCCTGGGATGAGCTGGCAATGCCTGCCTCCGCAGACCCCAATGGCTTGCTTCCCCACTGTCACTCTTGTTAGGGATTTGGGTTCCTTGCAGCTTCCACAGCAGCACAGCCCAGTTGCCAGCCCTGTGGCAAAATATGCGCCACTGGAACACCTCCACCTTAGACACCATCTGCAGCATGCATGCCACAGTTTTCTTACCCCTCTGCTAGATCATAGGATCAGGGCTCCAGAAATCTCCATCATCTTTTTTTTCCGCTACTGATCTGTAGTGTGGTTTTTTTTCAGCAGATCTTTTCCCTTCTCTATTCTTTCCTTTCCCTGGCTCTGAAGCAAGCAATTTGGTGCAGACTGCCTTTCAGTATGATGTTGCATAGCAGGGAGTGGACGCAGTTCCCAGCTAAAGCTTTGAGCAATGCAAATAGAAATAGCGAGCTGTTTTCTTGACAGCAGGTATACACTTTGCTCTTGATCTTCCATTGCATAACAATCCCCAAAAGTCAACCTTCTAAAGAAAGCCAATGAAGTTCACTGGCTCTCGCTTGACGAGCTGGACAAGAAAACACAGCTAGTTGATTCACTCAGGTGTGTTCCTTGGAGTACTCAGAGACTATTGAAGCAAACAGGCTTGTGTTAGTTTTAGGCATGCTTTTCACATGGCATGTTTCTTGGCCACTCCTGTGACTGGTAATTACTAAAGCATACATAAACAAATATGTGTATGCTTAAATACCTAACATTATGTTATGGCCCTTTGTACTAAGAAACAATAGCCCCACAGTATAGTTTATGACTGTAATAACGGAAAGATACAATTTGTAAAACATAAAATTATCTGCTATAAACTAAGGCTCTGATTGAAAGAAAAATAAACTAAACCATCATACTGTAATTGGCTTAGGTGCCTTACTTGCTGGCAGCTATGCAGTGCCTGCATACATTTTACATGGATTAGTACTTTCACTTGAATTGGTTAAAACAGTATGTGAATGTTAATGAACAATTTTTCTGTAAATATTATTTAGGGGTTTTTGTGTGTCCTTGTTCAACTATCTAAGAAGGTACATATGGAAAGCATTTCAATATTTCATGTTAGAATTAATTCTTAGTGGTCAGTTATAGCACATTTCTCATTATGTCTGTTTCATTAAAAGTAGCTTTAAAATATTTACTAAATATTTACAGACCATTTTCACACACATACAACACAGTTAGTGACCGGAGAAAATAATTATTTCCCACGTTCAGTATGAGATGTGACATGTGAAATATCCTTTCAGGAATCATTTTCTACACAGTGTAAATATTTATTGTTTTACTATAAAACCTCTTTTCAGCTTGCTAAAGGGAACTTCTAAAAAGACATAATTTATGCTACCATTTTAGAACAAATTCTGGCCACTGCAGGTTCTAATTATTCATATTCACAGCAGTTGACTGATGTCTCTTTACTACAACAATAGCTGGTCTCTCCTCAGTTTAGGTGTTTTCTTGAGGATAAATGCCCAGAAAAAAATTGGTTTAAAACCATATGAATTGAGACTGAAGATGCAACTGAAAAAAAAAACCCCGACAACAACACCACAATCACAGCAAATTATTTTCCAAAAGCTGTAGGAAAATCTGTACTTTGAAAACAAAATTTCATGCTGCTTTGTAGAACACTTCTTGTAAGATCAAACTGTGAATCCCCAGCAGAACCTCAGCTGTTCCCGAAACAGATAAAATACACAAAGCAAAACAATACACTGTGTCTCATCCTTTCTGAAAGTCTTAGTCTATTCATCCCACGTTTTGGTATTGCCCACCACTACCAGCTTATTTTAATCAACTGCTTTACAGTCGTTCTGGTAATTGCTTGTTAGCCATTCCCACACCACTGGCTTATTCATTATTTCCAGCAAAACATTACAGACCTCATTTTATGAAAATGATTTGTACACAGCATAAAACATAATTTCTTTCTAGTGTGAATGGAGTTTGATTGCAATTCAATTCCAATTCAAATACTGCATTCAAATTTTTCTTTTTAAATGCACTTCAGTATAAATTGTTTCTCCTTTTTGCTGCGCTCCTTAAAAAAAAAAACTAAACTTCAAAATACTGGAATTGAAAAATAGTGAAAAACATATTTTGACAAAGGAGAAGTTGATGGAAAATAGGCAAAGAGTGATGTAGACAGAAATTTCTTTTCTTTCATTTTCAATACACATTCCCAAATTGTTGTTTTTCCAGAACAAAACAAAATACTTTAGAATTGAGTAAATTTAGAGGTAGCAACAAATGGTATCTGGAATTCATTTCATAACAACATTTAATAAGTTTTTTAAAACATTAATTTCTCAATACAGCTGTAAATTTCTAAAGGTAAATCGATTTTCAATTATAAAAAGAAATAAGGGATTTATTAATTTCTGTATGGGTAAACATCCATTCTTGATAAAAAATAAATGTATACATATCTGTTCTAACTCAGAAATGTTAAAAGGAGAATGTTGCTTTCATGAAAACAAACGATTAAACATTTTTAGCAGTTTTACGAAAAGAAAAAAACAACTTCAATTAAAGTTCATTTTTTGATTATTTAGAACTTTTCTAAAATGTATATTATTTGAAACATGTTCTTGACTTTGAACTTTAAAACAAACAGAGTAGATCTTATATTTTCAAAGAATTTTGATATTTCAGGAAAGTAATTTCAGCCTCTACAACAAATTATTTGTAATATCATCCATTTTAGTTGATGTTTCTATTCAGTCATGTTTGGAAATGTCTTCCTGAACTCATTTAACTTGTATCTAAAGAAAATTGAGAAAATTGGTTTAGGTCACTTCAGAGGTTTGTAGAGCTTCTTTGAACTCTGTGCTTTGGGAGACAAAGCACTTTGATTCCCATATCAGCAGGTGGAGGGAGAGAAAAACAAAAATAGTCATATCATTTTTTAAACAAGCCCCTGAAAAAAATCTGAGGCTCAAGTAGAGCCACAGTAACTATGTGGCACTTCCATGTTTTGAATTCATTCAGTGTGATAGCATGAGCAGTGCAATCTCCCATGGCAATCCCTACTGACAGCACCACATAGGTAGGCAGATAAACGTTTCTGAAAGAACCATTACACATACTCACCCAGAATACTGGGAGAATAGGGGATGAAAGGCTGAGCTTATGTTGAACACTGTTTATTAGGAGAATTATAAAACTGCACAGTTGAGCACAGAGGCAAATGTCAGGGGACTGCAGAAATCTCCCATGTTCATCCTGAAAGTGAAGCTGCACCTTCACCTGGCCAGAGGACCTGGTGCCCCTCAGTCCCTCTTTGAGAAAAGAGCAACTAACCCCAGCCCAGCTGGAGTGTGGAGATCCAGAGATCTTCAGGGGGAGGCAGCAACCAAGACATCACTGCTCTTTCTTCAGAAGTAAAGCCTTTTGCATGTAAAGTGAGAGCCCTAATGTCCCTGGAACCTAAGGGTTTTCTGTACCAAGCTTGTTACAGCTGCATAAATATTAGGTTAAGAGAGATAGGGGGAGAAAAGGAGAGAGAGGGGGAGGGAGAGAAAAGAAAGGAAAGAGAGAAAGAAAAAGACAGGTTTAAAAAAACCTTTAAAAAAGGTTTTAAAAAAGGTTTAAAAAATGGTTTAAGAAAACCATAAATATTACAAACCAGACAAGAGGGAGGTAGTGTATTGTACATATGACCCTTGTTACGTGCTGTGATTTTTCACATTTGAAAAAAAAAAAATAAATAAAAATTGACCTGTGTATTAAAATTTCACAGTTAAAGGTTATGGAGTTTGCCATTAACTGCAGCATCTTTTTCTGATATATCATTGACTTCAGAAGTTGTTGAGGCGTTTCTTTGATTTAAACTAAAATGTAAGCATAACTTAAGCTCTTGCAAAGTATGCACGGTCTCCTGCAAACATTCACATGCCCCAGGCCTTCTACTTGAAGGCACGAGTGGTACAACCTCCCCAGCTGCTCCAGGAGAAATCAGGTCTCCCTTCTGCTCCCAGGCAGTTGCTCCTCACCAGCCCCCCAGGTGCTATTTCTAACTTCTCAGGAATAGGAAGGGCATGTGGAATTGGCTGGTGCCAGTTTTGAAGGAAGGAAAACAAATTTTATTGAAGCTGTAAGATTTCATACATCCTCTGTAGGATGTATGTCCTACCCTCTGCAGCACTGTGAGTCCAGAAGGGTAATTATATGCTTTTTTCCGATACGAAGTATTTTAGTTTGTACAGCAGTGTATGCATTTTTTTTAGTTATTCCAGATTGGTATATGATGCCAAGTCCTCGACATGCACTGTTTGAGTTATAAACCCACTTGGTTAAATTACCATTGCACTCTCTCCCAGTTAAACCACCATAAGAGCTGGTTCTGGAGCGGGACGATAATCATCCTTGATGTCCAGAAAAGCATAAACTGGAGGGTACTGGCTGGGAGAACTGGGAATTAGGCTCCAGGTGTGTGTTCTCCCCCATGGAGACAGGGTAGGTCGGTGATTATTTTCTAGTGTGGTCAACTTCAGTATTTGTAGGGCTTGGCTCCGCAACAAGCGTCCTCTGCACCCGAGGACGGGCTGACTGCAGACCCAGCTCCTCTGCACACCCTGACCCGCGCAGCTTCAGCGCAGGTCTGCGCGGACAAGACTCTGCTGGGGGTAGGGGTCTTCAGCAACGAAGTTTCGTGATGCTTCCCGAAAGCATTCATGGGCGCTGACTTCCTGTCTGCGCTCTGTGAATGGAAAGTATCAAAAAGGAAAGCAGAATACGCGCTTTTTGGGGGTGGGAATGTTATTTCCCAGGACCGCAGAAAAAAGAACCTAAAAACCCCAACCAACCAACCAACCAAAAAGCAACAACCCCCTAAAGGGTTATTTCCCAGGGCCGAGCCCCAGGAATGAGTCAGGCTCCTCAGTGCTGCCGCAGCCGGCTGCGCCCGCGCCCGTGCAGCTCCGAGCACAGCGGCGGGGCCAGGGCCGGGGCCGGGCCCTGCCCGGGACCCCCCGGGGCAGTCGCCCCGGGCCATGCCTGGCCGCGGCGCTCGCGGCGACCCTTGCGGTATGCGGCTGCCTTTGGCAGAGGCACATGAAGGATTTCATTGAGTGTGAAGACAGAGAGCAGAGACAGAAAGCAGAAGGAGGCGGCTGCAGCCTTTGTAGTCGGGGAGGAATGCGGAAATGTTGAAGCACTATGTCAAACTTTTTTGAAACGGGGTCAAGTCACATTCAGCCAGCGTGGGAAAGCAGGGAAAAAACTTGAGGAGAGGGGGAGAAAAAAAAAAAAAAAGGCAGCAAGCTGCTGCTGCTCCCAGGCTGAGCAGAGGCCGAGACAGCGAGCGAGGGGAGGCAGCGCAGCGCAGCGCAGCGCCGGAGCAGCTGCTGCGGCGAGGGCCGGCGCCGAGCCCCGCACGGGCAGGCTGCGGCCGGCGGGGCTGCGGTCGCGGCGCTGCAGCTTCGCGGGGGCCGCCGGTCGCGATTTTTCTTTCGCGTTTTCGTTTTCCCCAGGCAAGGGGGGGGGGGGGGGGGGGGGGGGGGCGGAGCGGGCTTAGGGGGACGAGTGCGAGCTGCCTTCTGCGCCAAGGTGCAGCCCGGCGGCGGCTGGAGGATGCGAGCTGAGGGCGGCCGAGCCGCGGAGCAGCTACCTGTGTGGCCCGGGCGGCCGCTGCCGGGACCTGCCGGAGACATGGCCATGTGAAGGGGCAGACCCGGGGCCGGCTCTCCACCCTGCCTCGTTCAATGTGAGGTTTGTTTTAGGGAGGACTCACCCCCTCCCTCTCCAACCCCCCACACCCTCGGGGCTGAGGATTATTTGGGGATCTGGTGGCGGTGCAGGCGGCCGCGGCGCACACCAGGTAACGTGGGGCGCCCATGTGCTCCGCGCACCCGGCCCGGCGGCGTGGCCCACAAGCTGCCCCCGGCTTGCAACCCCTCTGGGACGGCACCGGGGACGCGTCCCTGCGGCTGCCGGGGGCAGCTCGCCATGCCGTGCAGCCGCAGCCCGCCTTGGGATCGGCGTGGGGGCGCCCCCCGTGTCGGGGGCCGCGAAGGGGCCGCGGGCGAACGGGTTGCCCTCCTGGGGAGCCACCGGGGGGGTTCCCTCCGCCTCCTGTCGAGTGGCCGAGCCGGTTACTCACCCCCCCCCACACACACACCGTCCGTCCCCTGAGAGGAAGCGGGGGTACGCGCTTCCCCGCGTGTCCCCCGCCGCCACCCCCCGCCGCGTGTGGGGCGCCCGCGGAGGGAAGCTCGGTGCCGAGGCGGGGGGGGGGGGGGGGGTTGGGGCCGTGGCGGGGGGGGCCACTCGCTGTGTCCCGGCGTGCCCGGGGAAGGCGAGCGCTGATTTTCCGCCTGGAGCCGCGGCCGCGCGGAGGCAGGCCCGTCGACCCCGCGGCCACGCACACGGGCACCTCCGCTGCCCGCCCCTGCCCGCCGCTCGGGGGCGCCCTCCGCAGCTGCGCGGGCCGGGATGCGGGCCGGGGGCTCCGGTGCAGGTGTCTGTCGTGGGTCTGTTTGTGTGTGCGGGTCCCGGTGGCGGGGCGAGGCGAGGCGCGGTGGTCCGCGCTCGGTGCCGCCCGGTGCTGCGGGGGGCGCCGGGTTGCACGGGGCTGTGAGGTGGCAGCAGCTTCGGCGGTGGCAGCTGGAGTCAGTGAGGAAGGCGGCCGGAGGGGGGGTGAGGAAGGGGGTCGGGGTCGCTTCAGGCTGCAGCCGGGGAAAAGCGGTGAGCAACGGGCACGGGTTTTCTTCAGGTTGCTCTGCTTTTCTGCTGCGAATAAGGTGTAAAGCATAAAGCATAAAGGTGCAAAATGCCTCTGGCTTTATGCGTGGATTCAGGGTAGAGGAGCCCCGACTGAGCTGTCTGGGGCTCTTTAATCCTAGCCTGGTGAAAACGCAGCGTAGGAGAGGCTTGCAGCCCCGGAGGTCACCGTATCATTATATGAAAAAGAGGCAAGGGAAAGGGAGAGCGTTGATGTGGAGTTTTGTGAGGGGAGAGGATTTGCCCTCAGTTCTGCAGAAAGTGTGGATGGAACTGGATACAGGCAAACCGTGTACAGGAGGAAAAGCTTCTGCTCTCCAGCCTCGTGTGCTGCGCAGCAGAGCGTGCTGTTCCTGAAGACCATGTCTCGTTGGGCTGCTCTGGAAGGAGCTAAGCTGCCAGTCATACAGGCAGCAGTAGCTGTGTCCACAGACGAAATCCTTGCGTGTCAGTACCTTTCCTGAAGTGTGTATTTCTGAACCTACCTCAGCACATGATGCTTAGTAACATAATTGTCAGTTCAATACGTACATATTGCTCCTCAACACGCATGCTTCAGGGTAGGAACTTGCCTCTTGCAATGTGTTCATGAAGGGCTTAGCACAGGGGAGAGCAAATCAAGGCCGAAACCCCCAAATGTTATTATTTACAAATAAGTAACAATGATATAGCATGGGATATATTCCCAAGACTCCACTGCATGCACTCAAGAAACCTTTGGGTCCTGCAATCCTGACATGGGTTGCTGTGCATGACTTCCTTGCATAGTTAGTTAGCTTTGCCATCCCTATCACCCATGTATTGGAGGGTCATTGTATTCAACCCATTGCTCAGTCAGATCCCACAGCACGGAGTTGCTCTGTGGCTCTGTGTTACAGCCTTCTGCACAAACTGTGATAACTTTGTAGTGTTGTATTAGCCATGCAGGGACACTGATACACATGTCTCCCTGCTGGTTCACGTCTTCGTTTGCACCACGTTTTTGCTTTGCATGCAGTTACCTACTATAAGAGCTTAATTTTCTCATTTTTTGAGCAGTGCTGAGTAACAATAAACTAAAGTCATTTCTTGCTTGATTTGTCCTCCAGATCTAACTGGCTTTATGCAGACAATGCTCCCAAAGACTGTACGATAATTCCTGGTGGCCAAAAGAGGAGGCACACTGGGGCCCTTACAGGCAGAGGTACCAAGTGCGTGGCCTATCTGCCAACGTGAACAACATACTAATTGTCAGAAAGCAAGCGAGACTGAGAGCCACCCCAAAACACTTGGAGCACGGGAGGAAGAGGAGTGGCACCAGCATGGATAAGGACAGCACAAGCCTGGCTGACCAGCAGTATGAATGTGTGGCTGAGATTGGGGAAGGAGCCTATGGGAAGGTGTTCAAAGCCCGAGACTTGAAGAACGGTGGCCGCTTTGTTGCTCTGAAGCGGGTACGGGTGCAGACCAGCGAGGAGGGGATGCCGCTGTCCACCATCCGAGAGGTGGCAGTTTTGAGGCACCTGGAGACATTCGAGCACCCCAACGTGGTCAGGTGAGGAAGTGGGGCAGGTGTCCCCATCAGTGGGATCCTGGTTATAGTACGTGAGTTGGCCAAGCAAGAGTTTGGGTACATAAATGGACTGGACACTCGTCTGGGTTTGCGGATGAAGTGAGCACTAAACTGTGTACATGGAATGTGGTTTGAGGTTTCAGCAGGCCGTGGTGCTGCCTGCCAGACCTCACCTCATCCCTGTGCATTGCCTCCCACACACACAAACACCCATCTCCAGAGGCATAGGTGTGTGACTTAAGTGTTTGAGTGGATGGGCAAAGAGCCATGTGTATGTTATTTCCTCAGGCATAAGAGAGAATGAGAAAAAAAGTCTCCCTGGTTTTGTCTCAAGTATTAGTTCTGCCAGCTGCAGCTGATTTTTAGCAGCTCCATTCATTATTGAAATAGCAAAGATGAGAGCAGTAGTGGAATGTGCATTCCACCTTTTTAGGTGGTTTTACAGGGAGCTGTAGATTATCATATAAAAAAGAAGTAACAGCTTAAGACTTCAAGCTTTGCAGGCAGCCTTGTAGTTGAATACTGTTTAGCTGGTACTAATTTCACTGTGTACTGATAATTGTGCTGCCAAGAGTGCAACAGTAGAGATATCAGGCCTTGCTTGCAAGATGGTGGCCATGGCCCCAGGATGTCCTTTCTGTTGTGTTGGTAACAAAAACCCTAGATAAATGACCTGTGTTCTTGAACAGGTTCTCTCAGTGGTAAGGCTGGCCCTACTGTAGCCTCTTACAGTTTTTCTGTAGCTGGAAACGCCCAGCAGCCTGTGAGCATCTTTTATTAATATTACGAACTTTACGAAGTAAGCTTCACTTTGCAGATGCGCAGATGTGCAGTGATTTGAAACTGATCAGCATCTTACTGATGGTGCTGTAGTAACAAGAGTATTTCCTGCTATTTGTGTTATTATATGCACATATTGCATAAAAAAAGGAAAATATTTTATACTTCACTAACACCAAGGATCTTTCAGTCCTAGAGAAATAGATACTCTGAAGCTAGAGAAGACCTTCAAAATCGGTTGTAGCTGTGATCCTCTTCTTTTACAGTCTGAGATGAGGGGGTTTATAGTGGGTGCAAAAGGAAAGGTGAGACAAAGAATACTAAATACAAAGTGCATAGCTGAAGTAATTTTTGTTCATCTCAAGGCAGCATAATACAACAGTCTGCCTTCTCTCAGGGTAGATTTAGAGTAGATATTAGGAAGAAATCCTTTTCTGTGAGGGTGGTGAGGCACTGAAACAGGTTGCTCTGGGGAATTGTGGCTGTGTTCAAGGCTAGGTTGGATGGGGCACTGAGCAAGCTGGTCTAGTGTGAGGAATCCCTGCCTGTGGCAGGATAGTTGGAACTAGGTGATCCTAACGTCCTTTCCATCCCAAACCATTCTATGATTCTGTGATTTATGTCTGAACTGAATAGGCAAAATGTGTATTCTGAAATACTGGTAACGGAGAGCACATCATCAGTCTCACTGCAGTGAGCAATGGGATACAGGGTGCAGCTCACACTTTCCCACTGCTTATCAAACAAATCCACAGTTTGGTTAATAACCATTATTTTGACTGGCTCCCAGTAATGCCAGGGGCTTAGTCAGTAAATTTCAAAGTGGTGGGATATTTGTGTGGACGTGTTGGATTTGATCACCAAATCCAAGTGGCTTGGTTTACAGAGGAGAGCACCCAAGGTTCTTCCTTGGCAGTAGAGAGATAATTGAGAGTTCTCAGAGTTTCTGAACTCCAGCCCAATAATTTATGAGTGTACATGAGGATTTAGTTGTCCAGGTCTAGACATTTACATATTTGGAAGCTGTAAACGTTGTTCGGGAATAATTCAATATAACAATACTTACGAATTTTTTTGCCTGCATTGGGATCTTTCCATATGAAGTAAAAGATTTTTAAGAGCTCTTTAATCCTGAATTCAGCAAAACCTTGAAACTAAAGTTCTTGTTTTCCAAAGAGCTGTTTGATGAACTGACTATGCAGCTGCAGGCTTGTTTTGCTTGGGCTTAAGTGTAGTACGATCTTGACATAACGTTGCATAAATACATTGAAGCTAAAAATATTTTTACAAGTTTGAATGAAAATTCATTCTCTGCAAGCAGGATTTCAGCCAGCAGTATGAGAATGTAGTTTCAGTATAAAAATCCCTGAAAGTGTGTTCCAGGTCCTCACAGTGGTGTTGGGAAGCCTTTTGCCATAAGCCGCATTTCGAACACAAGAGATTGGTCTGTGATGTATGGGGATGCTTGAGACCTTGACTGCTCACCTATTCCCACAAACAGGCAGGGGAATATAAGAAGCAATTTCAAACATTCTCTCTTCTGAAATGTGAAGAATCCTGTTTAAAAACTTCCTCTGTTGTGCATGTTTTTAATCTGCAGAACAGATGAATCTGTAAGTAGCACTTTGGAGTGACTGAAATTATATGAAAGGTTATTTGAAAATATTTAAATGCCCCTGTTCCGTTACAAAATACGGTAGTAGTGTTTGTAATTTATCAAAATTAAAGGTCTATTTTTGTATTATGTAAATATACTCAGAAAAGGAAATACTACAAAAGGAGCTCTGCAGTTTTAAGCAGCTGACCTAGCTGTACTTAATTATTGAGCATGTTATGCTCACAAAAATGCTCATTGTTTGGGCATGCGTTCTGGAAACTGGTATAAAGGCCAGGCTACTAAATAAAAATAATGTCAAGTGCACTGTCTACATGCTGGATTAAAGTGTACATCATTTTCAGAGCACTGGGATAACAACACAAATACTTGAAATCAAGGGTTCTCTTTTATTTTGAAGGGACATCTGGCTTTTTTTTCTGAATATTACAAGCAACTAGCCTGAAAGAAATGAGAACTGCAAATTTGAGGTTGAATCTGTTAATTATGAGTAATGGCATGTGTGCAAACCAGCAGTCATCCTGTGAATCAAAATTTAGACAGACTTAAGACAGATGAGGTACATACCCCTGTGCTTGGCTGCGGTACTCTGGCATCAGCTGGCAGCAACGGCAGAAATTACAGTCCATGTGAAGTTACGCTGGACATGCTGATCTCACTCAGATAGTGTGTCAGGTTGTCTCCAGAGGGTAAAGTTCAGAGCTCAGCAGTCCACAGCTTCTCTGTCTCCATGAAGTAATGCTGAATGTGAAGCGTAATTTGGTAAGGAAGAGACCCAGTACTTGCTAGGCAGAGGTAGAGCTCAGTGGCTTTGTTGGTTGTGGAGCCAGGATGCAGGATGAGCACTGCTGCTGCAGTCCAGGTTTGTCATAGTGGTTGTAGATTCCCTTCCTCTAAAAGCCTGAGAAATGCTTGGAGCACTGGAGGGTTCCAGTGCTTGGTATTTGGAATGGAAGGGAATTTTCTCCATAAAGTGGAAATGTCTAAATAGCGCAGAATAATTTTAAACAAATATTTATCCTGTTTTTCCATGCTACTGCTAATTATGAGAGCTATGTTTCATGTTCCATCTCTCCAAGTCTGTTGTTTCCATGTTCGTACAATGAAGAGGCACATTTTTTGCAGTACAGTTGCTTTTACAATGATAATGAAGTTAGGTAAGACTTCGCTGCAGAATGAAATAAAATGAGGTGCAAAACAGGGAGTGAAAGGAAGTCTAATCTTCATCAGAAAAGTGGTGGTAGTGGAAGACTCCGGACTATTGACTGTGATGGTGGAAATAAGGCCTGAAGAACTGATCTAAACTTTTGCCAGACTGTCAGAACAGCACACAGAAAGGCATGGGGAAAGTACAGTTAAAAGCATGAATTCTGTGTGCTAAAAATCCTCTCCTGCTCTCATTTGCCTTTGTTTAAAGTTCCCCTCCGTCAAGGACATCTTAGTCTATTCTATTTCTCTTCACAAAGCAAAGTAAAAGATAGACTCCTCAAGAGTAAATCTTACTGTGAATTGCTCCAAAATAAGGTATGTTGTAGGCTTTGAAATGTCCTTTGTAACTGGTAGGATGATTGAGGTGCTCTGCTAGCTCACCTTTCAGATAATAGGATGTGATGCTTTAGTAAAGCTTTACTATATACGGTAGTCAAAGCTGGCAAAAGTTGGTTCCGCACTTATATAGCTTAGTGCTGTTCTGTTTGGGAAAAATGAAATATATGTAGACAAAGGACAGACTTTGCCAGGAGTAAATGACATATTAGATTCAGGAAATTCCTGTGTGTAAAACTGGGAGTATTCCCTGCTGTAATATATCTCTAAAAATTCTTCTTGTGATTATAATGCTAAATTCAGCAATATATTGTGTTCATTTTATCTCTCTCTCCTGCTGGTAATCAGATGATTAATTTTCCCCTAATGTTAATCATACATCAAACTGTGAATTTGCACTCTGGGAAGGCGATGTAAAAGAATGCTGTAACTCTTGCCGTGCTTGTTTTCTAACATATATATGTATTTAACAGTTTTAATAGTGTTCAACCTTAAGCAAATAGAGTAAACCTGCAAAGCTGTATATTTTTGCTTCCTGGCTTGTAGTTTTTTCGATAAATACAACTTTTTAATATTTTCATGGGTTAGTAAGTCTTCAAATGTAAAATAACAAAAATTATATTGAATATAATCTATTAGAATATAATATTTGGGTTATTATTTCAAAGATAAGTGCCAGAAATCTTGCCATTCAAGGTCATCATCAGCATATGACGGAGAATTAATCTTAGTTCTGTCCTTCCTTGCAGAATAGGTGCCCCAGCTAACTGACTTAGGTTCAACAGGATGAACCACTGAGCTGGATTATATTCCTCAGTCTGTTTGGTACACAGATCAGGTGGGGGGGAGGGAATGGACCCCAGTAATGATGAGTATTTGCACAGTTATGCCGTGTTCAAGGTTTTATGTTATTTTATATCACTGAAGAATAAATGACACTGTAAGTTGCCCTCTCTGGCACAACATGACAACTCTCATGTTGCTTTTTCCCTGCTTTTTCAGTCCACTGATCCGTGTTGCTATCTCTTGGTTTGCATTTGAA